TGTACTCTGTGCTCAGTGCTTGGTCAGGAGAAATGCTGGAACAGTGGAGGAGTCTGTCCCCACAGGGAAATAGCATCTTGTGGGCTTGAGAAGTTAGAAATGATTGTCTCATTTGGCCATACTTGGGAAAACGTTGAAACTTTTCCACATACTTGAACTTTCCAGGTAGGTAAGGTAGAATTTGATAGAGAGTGGCCTCAGTCTCCACCTGTGATGAGGTGATTTGCTTTATGAGGCTTTTAGGAAAATGACCAGTGAACACAGTGGATAGTAACAGGGAGAAGATCATTCAGGGTATGAGGGGTAGGTGATGGTATTAATAGATTCCCAGAATTGGGGAGGACCTTAGAGACTTTGACCACCTTAAATGTATAAATAGAAAAAATGATTAAATCTAATGTGTCTCTTACATTGGCTTTTATGCAGCTTATAAAAACCATTTGCCATGACAAGAAAAAATATTGTTATCATCTCATACCATAGTGAACTGGAGGATTGAGAACATTTCTCAGTTGTATGCAAATGCTATTTTTAAGATAGCTACGTTATATGAAACTTGGTAGGGAATTTCAGGAATTTTTTTGTTGTTGCTATACTGTAAAGGATAGAGTTGGTATAGAAATGCACGTTTACAGAGCATTTGTGAGGCAGGCATGTAGCAGGCACTGTGGTTATTTAGTAGGAAAACAGCTTCTTTTATCCCTTCCCAGACATGCTGAGAAAAGTAAATTATCCCACAGCAGCAGGATTCTTCAAGAACTTGCAGACACCCTGTGAATTTCCATATTGTTCCTTCCTTGCAGTTCAGTTCTTTACCTCCTGTCCTTCTATCTTGAAACAATTGTCTTTAATTTCATCATAATACATGTGTTCGTGGTTTCAGGGATCAGTGACGTTCAGGGATGTGGCCATCGACTTCTCTCAGGAGGAGTGGGAGTGCCTGGATCCAGCTCAGAGGAACTTGTACAGGGATGTGATGACGGAGAACTACAGTAACTTGGTCTCACTGGGTAAGCCCATCTGCCCCAATTAATTTAGTATTTGTTCTCTGGAATATTATCTTTCTTCACCTTGAATTTCAGGGCTGTCTTTTAAGGGGTAGCTGAATTCCTTTTTCTTGTTCCCGAAAGAATGTTTGAGATTTGTTGAGTTGAAAACGGGCACCTCTGCGAAGCGCCTGCATCTTGCCTAGCCCACAGTGACCCTCTGCCCTTACGCTGGTCCTCTCTGTAAATGCCTCTCTCTCTTCATGACCATGGGACAGAATTTGAAATCTTGGACATTAACTGAATGATCATTGTCTTAAGAAACCGAGTTGCATATTGTGTTTGATCTCAGAATTACTGTCGATGTTCTGTTTTTTTGTTTGTGTTTGTTTTTTTCTGGCGCATCTATAAAGAGAACAGTAGCTTGAATTTTTCTATCAAAAGCGCCTCTGTGATTTACGTTATATTGATGGGCTCAACAGAATTCATTTAACACTAAAGTAGATGCATTCCATTTCCTTCAACAGACATTCCTTTACTTGCTTTGTGGTTGAAAATTTCAGGCCATGACACTTGTATTTTTCATTGAATGAATATACTATGAATGAGCTATACATGTCTTAAGGAGGCAAATTAAGTAATAATAATAAACATAATAGTAGTTAACTTTGTGCTACTATAGATCCGACAATATTAGAAGTATTTTACATATATTAGCTTATTTAATCTTAGTATGAATCCTGTAAAATAGGTATTATTATCATCTCCATTTTAGAATTGGGAAAACTGAAGGACAGAGAGTTTAAGTGACTTGCCTAATGCCATACTGCTAGTGGGTGGCAGAGACGGGATTTGAACCAGGCAGTCTGCCGTGAAGGTTCATGCTGTCAACTACTAACATATATCTCCTCTCAAGGGACAATACCCTATTTGAGTTTAAATGATTCTAACTCCTTTTTCTAGTATAGCTGGTCTCTTACGCAATCCTCTCATTTTTTGCTGAAGTCTTTTCTCAGTATCATTTTGACTTGTAACTTATTATAAACTTAACCAGGTCTCAAGTTTTATAAAAATGTTTATATTTCAAAAAATTCTACCTATGTGTCATTTCTTTTAAGCAGAAAATTTCATTTCTAAGCCAGATGTGATTACCGTACTAGAGCAAGAGCCAGAGCCCTGGATGGTTGTGAAGAAAGAAACAAGCAGACGGTACCCAGGGGAGTGAGGGCAAAGCAGGCAGGGGAAGCCATCATTGTCAGGGACAGCCCTCGTGGTCAGAGAGGAGTCACATCCCTGAGATGTGGTTTCAAAAACTTCCTTCAAAGACTCAACACCTGTTGGATAAAAATTCCCAAGACCTGGGAAAGAAATAAAGATCGTGGTAGTGGCTATCAAAGAAACTTCATCACTTACTAATCACCTCATTTCTGTTCCCTTATTTCCATCCCCTTTTAGTGGAGTGAGTGCCCTCTTTCTTTCCCAGTGTAAACTTTTAACACCTATTTTAAATCCAGCTGCTTTCCAGCTCTGCTTTTGTATTTAGATTTCTTTTATGTGTTTCTACTGTCTAAAAAGTAGACATTTTTAGACAGTATGTATTTTGTGGAAAATACATATTTGGTAAATATGTATCAATTGCCTATTCTGAGCAAGGCACTGTGCTTGGCACTGTCAATACAGTAACGTACAGGTAATGAACAAGACTGATACAGTCATTGCTCCTGTGGATTTTATTGGCAGTTGGCAAGACATGGATTAAACACGTAAGCAAATGAATAGGTGAGTAATATCAGAGAATTGTATATAGACACAAGTAAATAGGAGTGATGGGGTGAGAGTAACAGCTTTTGGGTGGTCAGGGAACATGTCTTGTAGTGGGCGTGCTTGCACAAAGACGTCGAGTAAGGGTGTAAAGCCATGTGTCAGGGTGAGAACATTCTAGTCAGACTGAGCAGGAAACACAAAGGCCCTGAGGGGAAAGCGGTGAGTTAGAGCAGAGTAAGTGATGGGACGGTGGGAAGGGAGGTCTGAGAATTAGGCCAGAGTGAGATCCTGCAAGGTTTTGTCATTGTAAAAATATGGAATGTTTTTCAAGAGTTATTTATTTATTTTTAATTGATACCTAATATTTGTACATATTTATGGGGTACATGTGATGTTTTGTTATGTGCATAGAATGGATATTTAGGGTATCCATCACCTCGAGTATTTATCATTTCTATTTGATAGGAACATTTCCAGTCCTCTCTTCTAGCTATTTGGAAATATACAGTACATTGTCGTTGACTATGGTCACTCTACTCCGCTATCAAACTTATTCCTTCTATTTAACTGTATATTTGTACCCAATAGCTAACCTCTCTTCATCTCCCACCTCCCACCCACACAACCTTCACAGCCTCTGGTATCTATTATTCTACTCTCTACTGCCATGAGATCAACTTTTTTAGCTCCCATATGTGAGTTAGAACATGCAATATTTGTCTTTCTATGCCTGGCTTATTTCACTTAACATAATGTCCTCCAGTTCCATCCATGTTACTGCCAATGATATGATTTCATTCTCTTTTTATGGCCAAGTAA